ACATGGCGCAAAGTTCAGGCGCACACCTGATAAAACGATACAAATATTTATGAGAATGCAAAACATATTTTAAAAAATTGCGATTAATAATATATCATCAACCCGTCTTATACAGCCGGAGTTTTTTGTCGGTTTACTCTTTTTCCCTACAAAATTCAGGTCAATAGATTAGAGAGAAAAATCCTATTTTAATTATTAATATTGTTTTTTTTCGAATTCCCACAAAGCCTAAATAGGTAGGAATTCTTTTTACAAACCTTAATTGGAGCGGGAGTTTGTAAGATACATTTTCCATAGCTTTAACTAGTATTTTAAATAATCTCCATATATTGTTAGTGGCATTAATTTAAGGCTTTTTAAGATCATAGTTATTTCCGGTCGGCGGACCAACTGCTTTTCCTTTTCCGTTGTCTTTCAACATTTCATTTTTTGGGAGATGATGGATTCGTTAAAACTGGCCTCATGATATCATAGGGAAAAAGGATAATTCAAAACATTTATCTAAGTAAGTAAAGAATTTTGAAATGTTGTGTTGTTTAATTGTTCTCTTTCACTTCCACGTACTTTTCCAAGCGAGTTGCACACTGTGTGACACCAGCTTCCAAGCCACCATGGGCTGTTGGCCATAAAAAAACCCATATGCATACGGATAATAAAACCTTTTGGCTAAAAATAAAATGATAATCCTGGAAGACTTAACTCGAGTGAGTGAGTGAGTGAGTGAGTGGGTGAGTGAATGAGTGAGTGAGTGAGTGAGTGAGTGAGAGGGTGAGTTTGGTTTTACGCTGCTTTTAGCAATATTCAAGCAATATCACGGCAGGGGACACCAGAAATGGGCTTCACACATTGTACCAATGCCGGGAATCGAACCCGGGTCTTCGGCGTGTCGAGCGAACGCTTTAACCACTAGGCTACCCGACCGCCGCCACGTAATTATAAAGAACGAAACACAAGCTGATGATCTGAGTGAGTGAGTGAGTGAGTGAGTGAGTGAGTGAGTGAGTAAGTACCACTTGTATCACAGTGGGGGGAACCAGCAATGTTTTGCTTGTTTGTTAACGTCGAATTCAACAATATTCCAGCTATATGACGGCGGTCTGTAAATAATCAAGTCAGGACCAGATCCTGTGATTGACATCATGAGCATCGATCCACGCAATTGGGATACGATGGCAAGCATCAACCAAATCAGCGAGCCTGACCACCCGATCCCTTAAGTCGCCTCTTACGACAAGCAAAGTCGCCTTTTACGGCAAACATGGGTTGCCGCAGACCTATTCTACCCCGGATCTTCCCGGGTGCCAGGCTTGGGAGTGACGAGCGAACGCTTTAACTACAAGAGTACCCCGGTGCCCCTTGTATGTCTTGAAACGCTGACAGAAAACTAGAAATTTAGTCTCAGAAACAAAAATATATTTCGATTTTTTAAATTAAATCATCTTTTAATATACGCTGGCAAGGAACCGAGAGAATGTGATCGTTTCCATACAAAGCAAGACACGATGGGGATGGTCGGTTATTTAGGTCAGAATCTGTGGGTATGAAATATCAGCAGGGACATTGTCACGTTGTTGCATCGTCGTCTTTACAAAAGCAAGGAACTGGAGTCAAAATCATCGCGACAATGTGACAACGTGACATTTGATCGTAGCATCGTCCCGCTTTGAATACTATTTTATGGTTTTTTTTATCAAAATGCAACAACTACATGGTCAACTAAATTTGTTGCCGTGTTGCAAAACTATGCAAACGTTTAAATGCTCGACGAGGCGACAATGTCCCTTCTAGGATCCCATAGTATGAGCGACAAGCAGGAACACAATGCGGCTCTGTTGGGACATCGTATGTGACATTAATAAATGGGTAGAGTGGAGGTGAAATGGGGTTTAACGTCGCGTCCAAGATTATTGCACTTATATAGCGACGTGCATGTACGCGTGTGTGTTTGTGGCTGCTTGGCTATAAATGCCGATTTATAGTGCTAACTAAATGAAATAACATGCCGCAGTTCATGAATACCCCACTCAGACACAGAATACTGACTCCGAGCCGACTAGTCCTTATTTTAGCCCCGAGCGGCAGACAGGATAACAACAAGTACCATCTTTAAACGTATTTTGGTATGACGCGGCCGGGGATCGAACCCCGAACCTTCCGCTCTCCGGGTGGACGCTCTACCACTAGTCAACGGAGGCGGTCGCATAAATAGGTAGAAAGTTAATATGTGTCGACAGTTTACAGATCGGTGACAGTGCTGTGTTAGTGGTCGCTCAGATGTAAACAGTCACAGGGAGAAGCTACATATAGACCAGCACTGCCGTGGGGCATATACTTCTTTTATCCCATTATTAACCAAGCAGTTTACGACCAGACCTGTAGATGACCACTGTCATGGCTAGGCGGTGACTCTCTCCTCATGAGAAAACTGTTTTTTCCAAAACAAAATACAAATTTTGTGTTGGACATGCTTGGTGTCCTGAAAAAAATGTGTTTTAAAAATATTTTTTTGCCCCAATAAATATGAAACGGCCCCTTTGTCATGAACAATGTCAGTCCGACATTCCACAAATACATTTGACGTAACAGTGCGATATAACATATACTACTCAAGTCAAAGAACGCCTATGTTTTCGTGTGACTCAAGGGAGGATCCAACATTTTAAAAAGGGAGGGGTCCAAAATATCAAAATTCTCTCTCTAAGTTTGCTGCCTACAACTTACTACATTTGGTTTTCAAATGGGGGGAGGGGTCGCCACCCCTACAATATGACGCCTACAAGTAAACATGTAACTATTAAATCGTATAGTTACACAGTTTCAATATCTTACACACGGTAATTGTTTCCAGAATAGTTAACAAGCCACTGTTTTCCTTTTTAAGTTTACATATTATCTAAGCGGGATTTCGAGTATCATGAGGGTTTCGAATGGCTTCAGGTTATTGCGGGTTTTCAGTGGCGCGAGTTTAATGCGGGTTTTCAGTAGCTGTGTCTAATTTGCATGGACTGTCAATTGATCAGAGCGTAGCCTCCCTTTAAATGCACGAACGTAAAATTAGCAAAAACGTGAACATGTGCAGGTCCCCGGCGAGCGATATATTCCTTGTACGGCGGTACTGCAAGGTTACACCACACGTGATCATAAACACCAGACGCTACATGAAGTGGAGCGTCACCACGACAGTGATATATCACACGGGCTCTGCTTCCTTGACAGATTGTCTTAACCGTCACAAGTGACAAAGACGTTCTTAAACACAGGACAAAAGGTCAACAACAGGGGGCTCTGGATGCGTGGGTTTGCTTGTCCAACATTACATTATACTTATACATATAGTCTAAAGTGAATTAGTTTTAACGTCGATTTTATCAATATTTCAGTTATATCCCACTTGTCAGTTTGATGTTGGAAGTCCGCAGTGAGCCAGGTCAAGTTGACAACATGGAGAAACTCACGAGGATTGGTATGGTGCTGACAAAATTAGAAACATAAGTAATCTTGGATTCAATCCCGTCATCACAGTGTCCTGGCACGCCTAAGAGACACAACTCAATTCAACTGCGCTCCCTGAGGAACTTGCAACTGAAGATCACTCAGTAAATAAATATAAGTAATAGTGATTCAGATTATTTCTGTTCACACTTGTCACTTAAATAAAATGTGACCGTGTATTCATTTCCGCTCATGCATTACTCTGTGGAATATGTTTATAAAACAGGAATTTTTTCGTTCCAGAGCGACAAACCCATTCAGGTACCATGATCGGTCCGTGTTCTCTGGTGCGAGTAATGCTGAGGTTAAAGCGTTCACGGGACAGGCAGAATACTGCATCATTCATACTGACTCAGGCCGAATACTGCATCATTCATACTGACTCAGGCCAAATACTGCATCATTCATACTGACTCAGGCCGAATACTGCATCATTCATACTGACTCAGGCCGAATACTGCATCATTCATACTGACTCAGGCCAAATACTGCATCATTCATACTGACTCAGGCCGAATACTGCATCATTCATACTGACTCAGGCCGAATACTGCATCATTCATACTGACTCAGGCCAAATACTGCATCATTCATACTGACTCAGGCCAAATACTGCATCATTCATACTGACTCAGGCCAAATACTGCAGCATTCATACTGACTCAGGCCCAATACTGCATCATTCATACTGACTCAGGCCAAATACTGCAGCATTCATACTGACTCAGGCCAAATACTGCATCATTCATACTGACTCAGGCCAAATACTGCATCATTCATACTGACTCAGGCCAAATACTGCAGCATTCATACTGACTCAGGCCAAATACTGCAGCATTCATACTGACTCAGGCCAAATACTGCATCATTCATACTGACTCAGGCCAAATACTGCATCATTCATACTGACTCAGGTAAAGACCGCCTCCGTAGTAGATGGACAGCTTCATACCAAAATACGTAAGAGAATGGTACTTGTTGTTTCCCTGTCTTGCGCTCGGCGTTAAGGGCTAAAACAAGGACTGGTCGGCTCGGAGTCAGTATACTGTGTCTGAGTTGGGTATGCATGTTAAACTGCGGCATGGTATCTCAGTGTGCTAGCACTATAAAATCGGCATCAGTCCGGACTAGTACAAGCAGCCACACAAACACACACACGTACATGCACGTCGCTATATAAGTGCAATAATCTTGGACGAGACGTCAAACCCAATCTCACCTCTGACATTGAAACCTTGTCATTATGTGCAGAAAACATTAATGGAGTCCTGTCTTGACGGTCTTCATTATTAAAATTCTAATTGTACTTTTACTGCACTTTTTACCACTTGTTATTGTGCAACCACTTTGCATATACTCCATCTATCTGTACTGTACTTGGAAATATACTGTACACTGAAATAATCCGATGTATCTAATCTTGAACCCAAATCACCTCACTTCATTAAGGGAAAATATGAACTGTGCGTATGGGCGGCCCATCAGTTACCACCCTCACTTACGAGTGATGGCGCAGATAGTTTTATGTAACTGTTGCTTGTACCGAAATAAGGAGTCGTTTGGTCAGAACCCCAGCTGTGCCTCGCCTGGACTTAGTCGGGACTCACTGAAGTAAGTCTTACTATTTTACCATTCTTTATGATCACTGTGCAAGTTGTATGTAATGTTCACACATGCCTCCAGCATGGACTCCTGCCATGTGAATGAAGGGCGGTGTGACGCGAAGGCCAATGGAATCAATCTGTTTCGGCGGATAATCGAGACTGGATATTCTCTGGCGCTGACGTTTTATATGTATTGTAGCTCTTTGGATATTCCTGATGATCACTTGTAGTTACATGTAATGTTTATGTGAGAGCTCAGGTGTATCTGGGACAGGACTGAACGGGCATGATAGCAGGGAGGTCTATAGGTATACTGCCGGGCACAAGAAAGTATATGTGAGAGCTCAGGTGTATCTAGGACAGGACTGAACGGGCATGATAGCAGGGAGGTCTATAGGTATACTGCCGGGCAAAAGAAAGTATATGTGAGAGCTCAGGTGTATCTGGGACAGGACTGAACGGGCATGATAGCAGGGAGGTCTATAGGTATACTGCCGGGCACAAGAAAGTATATGTGAGAGCTCAGGTGTATCTGGGACAGGACTGAACGGGCATGATACCAGGGAGGTCTATAGGTATACTGCCGGGCAAAAGAAAGTATATGTTAGAGCTCAGGTGTATCTGGCACAGGACTGAACGGGCATGATAGCAGGGAGGTCTATAGGTATACTGCCGGGCAAAAGAAAGTATACCTCACATTTGACGGTGTATAATATAATAAATGGCGTGTCGACGATGATGTATTTGATACGGGTATCATAGTTTGGGGCCTTAAGTTCCCACTGTTTCGACAACTGTTTTCAGCCTTGTGACGTTTTGATAATGGTTATACTTTTTTGGTCAAATTCAATTTTCAAGTGTTTATATTTTTGTTTTGCCTAGCAGTTTGGTATAGCGTAACAATAAATGTTGAACATCTCATTGACAAAAAAAATATTTACGAGGCCAGTGTATGTTTTTCAGATATTCCGAGACAAGGCGATTTATTTACGGCATTTATTCACAATGTCGTTTTAAGCGGATTAGTAGTTTGCGGCATTTTCTTGTTAGGCCATCAATTGTATCGATCAGAATCTACTGGGTATGAAAGGCGAAATGTTGGTGAAAATGATATGAATAGATCACTGAAAACAGTGTTCCCTAAAAGGGTAAACACGTCCTGTTCTACTGGCCTACTGCTCTGCCACTCAAACACTTTGCACAGAGAAGTGTGGCAACACGGCTATCGTTATCCCTAAAAGGGTAAACACGTCCTGTTCTACTGGCCTACTGCTCTGCAAATCAAACACTTTGCACAGAGAAGTGTGGCAACACGGCTATCGTTATCCCTAAAAGGGTAAACACGTCCTGTTCTACTGGCCTACTGCTCTGCCACTCAAACACTTTGCACAGAGAAGTGTGGCAACACGGCTATCGTTATCCCTAAAAGGGTAAACACGTCCTGTTCTACTGGCCTACTGCACTGACACTCAAACACTTTGCACAGAGAAGTGTGGCAACACGGCTATCGTTATCCCTAAAAGGGTAAACACGTCCTGTTCTACTGGCCAACTGCTCTGACACTCAAACACTTTGCACAGAGAAGTGTGGCAACACGGCTATCGTTATCCCTAAAAGGGTAAACACGTCCTGTTCTACTGGCCTACTGCTCTGCAAATCAAACACTTTGCACAGAGAAGTGTGGCAACACGGCTATCGTTATCCCTAAAAGGGTAAACACGTCCTGTTCTACTGGCCTACTGCTCTGCCACTCAAACACTTTGCACAGAGAAGTGTGGCAACACGGCTATCGTTATCCCTAAAAGGGTAAACACGTCCTGTTCTACTGGCCTACTGCTCTGCCACTCAAACACTTTGCACAGAGAAGTGTGGCAACACGGCTATCGTTATCCCTAAAAGGGTAAACACGTCCTGTTCTACTGGCCTACTGCTCTGCCACTCAAACACTTTGCACAGAGAAGTGTGGCAACACGGCTATCGTTATCCCTAAAAGGGTAAACACGTCCTGTTCTACTGGCCTACTGCTCTGCCACTCAAACACTTTGCACAGAGAAGTGTGGCAACACGGCTATCGTTATCCCTAAAAGGGTAAACACGTCCTGTTCTACTGGCCTACTGCTGTGCCACTCAAACACTTTGCACAGAGAAGTGTGGCAACACGGCTATCGTTATCCCTAAAAGGGTAAACACGTCCTGTTCTACTGGCCTACTGCTCTGCCACTCAAACACTTTGCACAGAGAAGTGTGGCAACACGGCTATCGTTATCCCTAAAAGGGTAAACACGTCCTGTTCTACTGGCCTACTGCTGTGCCACTCAAACACTTTGCACAGAGAAGTGTGGCAACACGTCCTGTTCTACTGGCCTACTGCTCTGCCACTCAAACACTTTGCACAGAGAAGTGTGGCAACACGGCTATCGTTATCCCTAAAAGGGTAAACACGTCCTGTTCTACTGGCCTACTGCTCTGCCACTCAAACACTTTGCACAGAGAAGTGTGGCAACACGGCTATCGTTATTGTGCTGAATTCGTAGTGTCGCGGTTGCGATATAGATGTTAAGGCGGAGAGATTGCGTCCCAGAACTTCAGAAAACTCTTTCGCCCCCTTCTTCTGAATATCTTTCCTCTGGGGCTGATTAAGGGCCATATCGCCCTGAGATATCCACGCAATATCGCGACAAAGCAATAGTACGATACGATATTGCAATATCTCAAAACGATATACGATATTTCGATACAGCAAAAACCGAAATAGCGACGACGCGCAACGACATGTCGATAACACGACGAGACAAAGCGATAACACGGTCTGACATGGCGATATCATGATATGACATGGGGATAACACGGTATGACATGGCGATAACACGGTATGACATGGCGATAACACGGTATGACATGGCGATAACACGGTATGCCATGGCGATAACACGACACGAAATGGCTTTAACACGACACCACATACCTTACAATTCAATACAGCGGGGATAATTTGTGAGACGGAAAAGTTGATCTTTTATTACCCGATGGGATGACGAATGGTTGGATATATCTATTTACTTTATTTTAATGGTTAAAAGAAAGGTAATTGTGTATGGTGAAGACGCCCTTGCCAAAACAGCTGACCCCCCACCCTCCCGTACTATCGGTTTCCATGGTGATAACACTGGGTTCATTGTGTAACACTTAGCATGGTCACCATGACCCTCTAGCGAGTCAAGTCGTGCGTAGGGGTCATCTCTATGGCAACCACGTAATACTTCATACAATAATATATCTTATTTACAGGTTTTAGGCATTAGCTGCACGAGTACCCTGGGGCTATTGAGACATATATTAATGCTCCGATCAAAACTAGCTGCTTAATCATTATGCAGAGCGTCCATTAAGAGTGACGTTCCTTCAAATCGGTTTCGATGGTAAGGGAAAGTACTTGATGATGTTGTATCCTCGTCACTTACATGAGTATTATCTGGAGTGGGTTTTCATCGGACAGCTACCATTAGGTTCTAATAAATGTGCCATTGGTAACGTAGGTTAAGGTCAATATTTACTGTACCAAGATTTGCAGTGGGCAGTGTCAATGGACCCTAAACGGACCAATCATTTAGTATTATGAGGTTAAAGGGCTTGGGAAATTTATAACTTTAACATTTATTTGGTCCGGAAAATGCCGGAATAAAATAACTTTATTGGTTTGGGGTTTTACAACAACAAATTAACTTGTTCGGTAGATTTGCTAGTTGTCGTGAATAGAAGGTGCCAGAGTGTGAGTGAGTGAGTTGGATTTTACGCCGCTTTTAGCAATATTCCAGCAATATCACGGCGGGAGACACCAGAAATGGGCTTCACACATTGTACCCATGTCGGAAATCGAACCCGTGTCTTCGGCGTGACGAGCGAACGTTTTAACCACTAGGCTACCCGACCGCCCCAGAAGGTGCCAGATGTGTTCATATAAATACGTAGTGACAGCTGTGATTGTTTTATACAAAGCTAACGTTATACGAACATACACAGGAAATAGCATAGGGGCGGTGGGATAGCCTTGTGGTTAAAGCGTTCACTCGTCACGCCGAAGACCCAGGTTCGATTCCCCACGTGGATACAATGTGTGAAGCTCATTTCTGGTGTCCCCTGCCGTGGAATATTGCTGGAAGCGGCGTAAAACCATACTCACTCATACACACTAGCACAACAGGTCATAACGCGAACAATCCGCTCACAGAGCACGTTTTACTCCCATGCGGGACACGTGAAGATCCGGGGTAGAACAGGTCTTCAGCAACCCATGCGTGACGTAAAAGGCGACTCTGCTTGTCGTAAGAGGCGACTAACGGGATCAGGTGGTCAGGCTCGCTGACTTGGTTGATGCATGTCATCGTATCCCAATTGCGTGGATCGATGCTCAATCACTGGATTGTCTGGTCCAGACTCGATTATTTACAGACCACCGTCATATAGCCGGGGTACGGCGTTAAACAACAAACAAACAAACAATCAAACAAACAAAAACTTCCATGCGGCTCCCATGGATCTCACATCCAAAGCGACTCAACATCTCGAGGTACGTGCGGCTGGTGGAATACATTTTCGGGACGAAACATAATTCGGTGAAAACCTCTTCATGAGTCACTCACTTGTTCATAATGTCCAAACGTAATACTATTTCTGAGTAGTCACTATCACAGCTAGGGATGCCTTTGTCACGCCTCGTTTGTGACGATTTCTTTAAAAGTGGAAGTCATCTCTAAAAACGTCATTGACATCAGTAATTCGATTTCATATTGGCATAGTCTATTTTATGATGTCTTACACTAGGTTGGGGACGCAACGAAACATTCACTAACTCGCTTCAAAAACATGATTCATAATTTAATAAAAATGAACTAACAAGGCGCAAAGGCAACAGTGAGTGAGTGAGTATTGTTTTACGCCGCTTTTAGCAATATTCCAGCAATATAACGGCGGGTGACACCAGAAATGGGCTTCACACATTGTACCAATGTCGGGAATCGAACCCGGGTCTTCTGCGTGACGAGCGAACGCTTTAACCACTAGGCTACCCGACCGCCCTAAAGACAACAGAGATAAACAAACAAATCGAATTCTGTACAGATGTTACGATTGGTATCATACATGAAAGAAATGAAAACTAATAATGACATATCTTAGTGAATGGTTCGGTTTGCATAATTATGTATTTTTACGAGACTTTCCTTTTTTCTGTATATTGCGGTCAAGTCTTCACACTACAGTAAAAAGTCCACTTGCAATGGGGCAACCGCTTAAATAATCGTGAGGAGTGATTATGGGTGGCGTCGCACTAAATTAAATAAAACAATTCAAATATGTCCGAATTGATTAATTGGAGGGAGGGGTGGGGAAGGAGCTGAGTTATTCTAGCAAAAGACAATTATCCCTCACTCCAGAATATCAAACAGTCGGCCCTTTAATACAGACCTCTTCATATTTCACGTGAAGCCATTGTTGCCATGGGCACGGCTAATGTTCACTGTATTGTTGGTTTCAGATGTCAGGGTGAGAGAAACTGAAGCCCGTCATGCCTGCTGTCAACATGGACGGAATGCTCGTATATATCATGTCGAGTGTGGTGCTATTTCTGTGTGTATATCCGCGAGCGTCTTCTGTCAGTCTGAAAACATTCAGCTACAGATGGATGAACGGGACCTTCCGCCAAATGTCATACCCAAGAACCCAACATGGCGACTGTGTTTATGACGCCACACGGTATCGAGTCACGTGCGTCAAAAATCACCCCTATGACGCCATAACGTCAACATGGCGGCACAAGGCGGAGAATGTTTCGTACGTCGCCGTGAACTGCCGCGCTCAGAGAATATACACAGGCCATTATGAGAAGTGTGTATGTAAAGACAGGACGATGGCAGCACATCCGCACAAACAAACGCAGAGAGATTCCTATGTGTTTTGCCAGCTTGATGCGATATACCGTGACATGCTCCAGCCGCTGTCCAACCTAGAAGTCCTGGACCTCGCTCACAATCATCTGTTCCGAATTCCTCCGCACTGTTTCGATGATATGGCGAAGATGAAGCTGCTTTCACTCAGCAACAATCAGATCGAGCATTTCTTTGACAGCCTCCTGTGTAACGTGTCCAGTCTGGAGGTTCTGCTCCTGCAGGATCTACCTCTAACCTCTTTCCCGGGGAATCTGTTTTATTGTGCCGCGGACTTCCGGTCAAGCGTCCAAGTTATTGATGTCAGCCATTCGAAAATATCAGCTCTGAAAAGAGAAGACTTTAAGTCTCTAAGTCAGCTTGGTCTTCTTGATATTTCTTACAACGAACTAGCCGCGCTTCCTGAAGAACCATTCTTTGGGCTGTCATCTTTACAAACTCTTGACATCTCAGGGAATCATTTTACTGAACTGCCTAAGTCCTTCTGTGGTGGTATTGAACACGTCGAACGGCTTGTCATCAATGACAACGAGCTTGAGAGCTTCAATTGTTCAATATTTGAAACATGTAGTAACTTAGAATACTTATCGCTATCAGATGGAGTAATTTCAAATATAACTGGGTCATCTTGTCGACTTGATGCCCTAAAACATCTCGATCTTTCAAGAAACCACCTGTCCCATATACCGCTACGGTTACTGCATAACGATTCGGTGATAGAGTTTATCGATATAAGCCAAAACATGCTGGAGGGGATAGGCATTGAGACATTTCATGACATGACAAGATTAAAGGATTTGAATATGAGTTATAATCAAATTGCTAAAATCGATGACACATTCCAGAAAGCATTTCTACACCTACACAATCTGGAAGTTTTAGATTTAAAACAAAGTCAAATCCACCATTTGAATAACAATAGTTTTATATCACTGCTATCTCTCAAAGAATTATATCTCTCAGATAATTATATACAACAAGTGTATGCAGAATCGTTCACGGGGCTTGGAAACATTAGCAAACTCTATCTACAGTCAAATAACATTAGTGTAATTGAGAAGGGATCTTTTTCCCAGATGAAACGCCTTAAAGTCTTGGATCTGTCACGAAATCACTTAGTTCACCATGCTATAGAGTATCCATCGTCCCTGAGGCAGTTGCACTTGAGCCACAACAAGATCAGTACAATGAAATCCATGGGCAACCTCTTCAAACTCCAGGAACTATATCTCCAGGGTAACGACATCAGTTACATTGCGTCGGATTGGTTTAAAAACATGACGAGTCTTCAAATAGTTGACATGAGCGAGAACAGACTGTCGACCATCAGCGATGGGCTGTTTTCAACACTTCCGAAACTAGAGGAGCTTAGCTTAAAGAGCAATGGACTGACTCTCGACTTTGCAAAAGACCTGTTTCATGAGTCTAAGCTTATGCGCAGACTTGACCTCAGTGAGAACCATATAATGAACATTGATAAATTATTGGATGGAATCTCACTGAGACATCTAGAACATCTTGATCTCTCTTTCAACAACATCCAAGCTATCAGAGCACCTTTAAACAACAGGAATGAATCTGTAGCTCTGAAGTGGCTCAACCTCGAATCGTGTGGTATTGAATCTGTGGTTCGCGATGCCTTCATTAATATGGATGTTCTGGAATATGTCAAGCTTGTTAATAATTCCATCACGTTCGTACCATTATTTAATGCCCGTCTTGGTGCCATGTTTTTCGTCAGAAGGAACCCCATCATCTGTTCTTGTGGGATGGTGTGGCTGGAAGAGCGCTGGCTTGACACGGATACAGTCGATAAGATGTCCACATACGACTACGATGTTGACGTATGCACGACGTATCCGTCCATGATCGTCAAACCGATACGCAAGCTATCCGACCGGGAATTCATGTGTCCAGTACCATCTAACTGTCCCCCTGAATGTGACTGTTTTGTTCTCAAAGAGGGGGGATCTGTTTATATGACAGTGTGCAGAAACAACTTAACCGATATACCGCAGAATCTGCCGCACGACTCGGAATACTTGTACCTTGATGGGAACAACTTTCACACCGTGGAGAAAATTTCAAAGGGGTTTCACTACACAGAAAACATTTTCCTTAATAATAGTGGCGTTGAGTCGTTTGGTGAGGATGTGTTTAAAGACTTCGGCCATGTGTTCGTCATCGACCTTAGCTTTAACGATTTAGAAGCAATTCCAAATTCCCTATTTCAAGGACTAAACTATTTGAAGGACATTAATTTAAAACACAATCATTTGACGCACATTAGTAAAGGACTTTTGAAAAATGTCCCGTCACTTCAAAACATAGACATAAGCGATAACAACATACATCACATCCTTCCAGAGATGCTGCTTGACTTAGATCATCTCGACACATTCCGATGGATTAGATTGTCTGGCAACCCCTTGCTCTGTTCGTGTCCCAATCAGGAGTTCCGTCTGTGGATGGAAAGACACTCAAGCAGAGTATACGACCGCAGGAACGTTATGTGTGAAGGAGAAGAGATACGTCGTGTTGACATGGATCGATTCGAATGTGATGACCCCTTTCCTGATGCTCTGAAAACGGCCGTGATTGTTGCGTGCGTGGTGTCCGCATTTCTGCCACTGATCGTCCTACTTGTGTATTGTCGTAAAGAGGTGTCCGCAGTATGCTACGCGAGATTCATTCCCATTTGTGACACCGGAACCGGAAGTGGTCACCACCATACCGACCCGTGTATATACGACGCGGTGGTGTTGTATGACACATCCGATCCCAAATGTTTGTGGTGGATTCAGAAATCATTGGTGCCAAAACTCACCGAGGGAAGGAGGAAGTTCAAACTGTATATCCTCAAGAATGACATCCTATCTCGTGAGTCGGCCATGTTTAACATCCAGAAGAGTCACTGTACTATAGCAATTGTTAATAACACGTTCCCACAAAACAGATTTGCACTGGAATGCTTCCGTCACTCGGCCACCCAGGACGTTGGCAACAATGGAAACCATCGTATGATTATGGTCACGTGGGGGTTTATTGACAAGAAGAATATGCCGCAATGCCTGAGACATTATATTGACAGGGAGAGAGTCCTGCCGGTGACAAGCACCTGTTTCTGGGACAAGCTGATCCAGAAGTTACCGGACACCAGGTCCGGCCACAGGAGCCACGGAGAGGACAATCCGGCTTACAACGTGGAGGAAAATGCCTTGTGATGCTTCCGAACAACAGGACAGGTACAAAAGGGAGGGATATTTTTTTATAGTGATATCAATATTATTTCGGAAACGGCATCAAGCATATGGAATGAACGATGAATTTTGTGTGTAAAAGAGAGCATTTCTATGCATATTTGTTCAAGTATTTTCTGAAACAAATATTTGTTTGTGAAAAATACCCTACAGTGAATGTTTTGTGGTAGACATTTTTTTTATCGATAAAATACAATCCACATGAAGCGGCATAATCAAACATGATAAGAGCATGCAGCAATATCGGAGACATTATGTTGGCCAGGACTGAATCCTCCTCGTGGCAAGCACCTGTTTCTTGGACCTTTTATGTAATCATGACAATGTATTCTTCAGTAATTCAACAAACACATGTTAAGAACTGCTTACCATATACTTCAATATAAAATAACCATCTTCAAAGATCGTATCCTGTATTAATAGTTCGCTTTTGGGTTCAAACAGATATACTCATTTGATTTACAGAAACAGAGACTGATTATTTAATGATATATGAGTCAGGTGAGGAATGTGTGAATATCTATTGCTTCTTGTGTTTCTTGTCCTCTTTTGAGGCAGCTGAGTGGTACTTGTGTCCATTTGGAGACAAAAGGCGGTGTGTGGTTAAAACGTTCGCTCGTCACGCCGAAGGCCCGGGTTCGATTCCCCACATGAGTACAATTTGTGGAATGTCTTGAGATGAGATGTGTTGAGATGAGTTATTCGTCAGCATTAATTGCAGGAAAGCGGTTGTTTGAGATGCGGAACGACTCATGCATATTCATTACAGTAACCAAGCATGGCGGGGCAGTGAGGTAGCCTAGTGGTTGAAGCGTTCGCTCGTCACGCCGAGGACCCGGGTTCGATTCCCGACATGGGTACAATGTGTGAAGCCCATTTCTGGTGTCCCCCGCCGTTAAATTGCTGGAATATTGCTAAAAGCGGCGTAAAACCATACTCACTAATTCACCAAGCATGTTGTGTCGAGAATGTTGGTCCTTATCTGAATAATCTGGAAAATGTATTCGTACAATCAGATAGAGCATAGTATTAACATGAATAAAATAATACAAAACAGTGAAAGTTGCGTGTTTATCGTTGATCAAATACGTATTGTGGTTCTGTAATGGTCCGGTGTCTGTCTGTACACTGCATGTTCTCGGTCTCCAGTGAAACTCTGGGACTAATTTGACGATGACTTGGAAGTGGCTACATCATCTGGTACAAGCGGGGTGAAAAGTAGTTCAACGTCGCGTTGTATTTATGACTGATTAAGCTAGTCCGGATTCATACCAGCTTTAAAATACTGGCCTACTCAGATACCATGCCGCATTTCAACATTGATACCCCACTCAGACACGCAGAGCCGGCCCTTCCTTGTATTATCCCATAAAGAAAACATACCATTTAACAGGAATACAATTTGATAGGAATACAACCTGATAGGAATACAACTTATTGTTACTTGGGATAGCGACATTTCGATGCAGATTCGTACACCGTTCTCAAGCTGGAATGAGTACAAGCAAGAGCGGTGTCTTCATAGAAACAAGTGAGTGAGTGAGTGAGTGAGTGAGTGTATTGGGTTTAACGCCGATTTTAACAGTATTCCAGTTATATCACGGCGTGGCAGCTTAATGTGGGAGGAAAGCCCGAATTGATGCAGGTCTTAGACATTTATCACTTCGGTGAAACCCACGAGCACGGGTATGGTGCCGACAAACCTAGAAACATAATCGGTGCGAACCGGGATTCGAACCCACAATCCAAGGTTTCTGGCGTGCCCAAGGGACGCAACTCTGCACAGCGAATCGCGGCGCCTTAGACGACTGGGCCACCCGTGCCCCCCATAGAAATAAGAAGTTTTCATCCATGAAGTTGTATGGATTCATATTTACTAGCCAACTTCTGGAATGCCTATCAAATAGCTTATTATTATCTCCTTAGTTTCGAGCGGGGCAACAACACCGAATGAGACGCCGCTTTAAGTTACCCTCCAGCAATTGAACGCCAAGGGAATCAGAAATGGGTTCTTTTACCCACGTGGGGAATTGCATGCTCATGAGTTATACCCTTAAACAATAAGAATGCCATTTATGAATATTGTGTGTATTTATTTATCATTACACGTTATGGCACCAAGCAATCAGATTGGCTAGATGCCGTGCCAATATACACGTGAACAACGTTGACACGGTGCCAAACAATTCTAGATAAGGGAGACACGGAACATGCGACACAGTCCGGTAGCCTATTATTACGGGACAGATCCTGGATGAAACTGTTCCATGGTTATCACATTACATTCACAGGTGCATTACAATCTGTTTTAATACGTCAAGATGTTTTTTGTTTAAGAAAAAACCTCCGCCCAACCCCAACCCAAACCCCATCCGGTGAAGTTCAAGGTTAGAATTGGTGTTGCTTACCTCTTGCTCGGCGGCGGTTAACAGGATCGGGTGGTCCGGCTCTCTGACTTGGTTAAAGCATGGCGTATCCTCGTTACGTAGATCGATGCTCATGATGTCACTCACTGGATTGTCAGGTCCAAACTCGAATGTTTACAGACCACCGTCATACAGCTGGAATATTGCTGAGCGGATGTTATCAACAGACAATCCCAATCCCTATGTCTCGTGTCTGGGGCTATCTTAATACCGGAAAAAAGGAAAGTATGACGTGATGGAGCTTTGTACATATTTCATAGGGTTTGATGAATTTTCTCGCAACACACTTAAGATAATAAAGCATATATACACGTGCATTCATATCTCCGGGATTAAATCAATTAGATGTTGAATTCAACTGACCGATTCAACTAGAAGTGTGAGGTGAAATGGGTTTTAACGTCGCATTATTGCACTTATAAACACGCATGCACATGTGTGTATTTGTGTGCGTCCGTGCGTGTGCGTGCGTACGTGCGTTTGTGTGTGAATGAGTGTTTGTGTGTGTGTGTGCGTGCGTCTCTGCGTGTGTGTGTCAGCGTGTTTGGCTGCTTATTCTAGTTCGAGTGCTCGCCCAATGAGATACCAAGCGACTGTTTAACATGGCTATTCAGACACAGTATACTGACTCCGAGCCGACCAGTCCTTGTTTAATCCCCTCAACGCCTAGTGCCAGAGAGGGTTACAACAAGTCCCACTTTTAACTTTTGGTAAGATGACGCCGAGTTTCGAACCACCGACCTTCCACTCTCCAGACAGACGCTCTGTCCACCAGCTTCAAATAGATGTGCAACACGGTGCCGTTGTTCAGAACAACATCAACGCTACGACTGTCGTAAGACTCTGATAAGGTACGGGAGCTACGACACCCTTACATCGCATCGTACAACGGCACCCAGGTCATTTCAACATATCGACATCACATTCCCCTGATTGTCACGAGTTCGTCTGTTTATTGAGGATTGTTATGTTCAGGTAAAAGATTGATAATAGTGGGTGAGTGGGTTGGATTTAACGCCGCTTTTAACAGTATTCCAGTTATATCACGGCGTGTCAGCTTAATGTGGGAGGAAAGCCCGAGGTGATGCAGGTCTCAGACGTTTTCCATTTCGATGAAACCCACGAGCACGGGTATGTGCTGACAAACCTAGAACAATAATCGGGATTCGAACCCACAATCATAGGTTTCTGGCGTGCCCAAGGTACGCAACTCTGCACAGCGAATCGCGACGCCTTAGACGACTGGGCCACCCGTGCCCCCCTTATTGATAATAATGTACAGAGAAGGCTACAACGGAACCACATGAAGAATCTAAATTGAAGCAACGCTAAGTATGTGATATGTATTATGTCTATTGTTACATTGATGACATAAATAACTCTTGATTCTGAAATGTGTACAGCCGTCCAAGGGTTTGACTCACGAAGTGAAGAATCAAGCTAGATAGATGTCAATGATGTTTTCACTCTCTCTTGTGGGGGGCACGGGTGGCCCAGTCGCTGTGCAGAGTTGCGTCCCTTGGGCACGCAAGAAACCTATGATTGTGGGTTCGAATCCCGGTTCGCCCCGATTATGTTTCTAGGTTTGTCAGCACCATACCCGTGCTCGTGGGTTTCACCGAAGTGGTAAACGTCTGAGACCTGCATCACTTCGGGCTTTCCCCCCACATTGAGCTGACACGCCGTGATATAACTGGAATACTGTTAAAAGCGAAGTTAAACCCAACTCACTCACTCACTCATTCTCTCTTGTGATGGAATGTTCTCACTACAAGCTGGTGAATGCTGCCAATAACATATTTTACGACCGCTTCCAACATCAACATCGGGGACGTTTGGAAGGTTTGACAACTTGAGTGAGCAGGGTCGAAATAATGACCAACGTCCTACGCCGCGGGTACGATGACACGCAATCAACCAAGCTTGACCACCCGAGCCACTTGGTCACTTCATGCGACAGGAATACGGTACTTGAGACCCGTGAAGAAAGGTCTTCAGCAACCCATGCTTGCCGTTAAAGGCGACGATCCTTGTCGTAAGAGGCGACTAACGAGATCGGGTGGCCAGGCTCGCTAACTTGGTTGATGCATGTCATCGTATCCCAGTTGCGTGGATCGATGCTCATGATATTAATCACTGGATTGTCTGGTCCAGACTCGATTATTTACAGACCGCCGTCGTACAGCTGGAATATTGCTGAGTGCGGCGTTAAACAACAAACAAACAAATAAACAAACAGAACTGGGGACCTATTCTACACCGTACAAAATGTGTTTAGAATATAAACAAGGCAGGCCTTAACATGTTTAGTAATGTGTTTTACTACTAAACGCAATACGCATTTGGTGACTATCTTAACACGTTCAGGGTTTAAACACATGAACTGAGCTAACACATCCTACACATTACCTAAGCACAACGTCCTTATTACCTAATGTTTAGAATTTAAACATGCTTTAACATGTTAAAGACTCTGCTAATCATTGCGTATTATCCTGATCTAAACGTGTTTAAATAAAGCGCACATCATTGGTCATTAAGTAATAAATATATAAGATGATAATATTGAAAATAGGTTCAGATTCACAGACATATTTAAACGAATTGGTAGAGCGTCCACCCGAAGTGTGGGTTATCACGTTAAACTGTTGCATGGTATCTCATTGGGCTAGCAATATAAATCGTACAAGTAGCCACACACACACACACACACACACACATACACACACACACACACACGCACGCACGCACGCACGCACGCACGCACGCACGCGCGCGAATACACACACACACAACAATCAGACACAGGCACACACACACACACACACACACACACACACACACACACACGCACACGCACGCGCGCGCGCGCGCATACACATACACACACACGGATACACACACACACGCATACACACACACACGTG